GCCCTACCAAAACCCTGTACCATTTTGGTGAATGTAGGCCGAACATTGTAAATAAGGAATCAATTTGTCTATTCTGTTCTCTGGGGACTTACGTGCAAAACATGGGCTCTTTTTTAATTCGTTCACTAACACAGAGCCTCATCTCTCTCCTATTCTCTTCCCTAGTGCTTCTTTCTTCCCACTTTGAAGCTTCAAAGAAGCTCCTGATTGAGTCTGCTTTCCCAAATCACTCAACTATGAGGTGAACTTAGAGGTCACAAAGTCAAATACCTACAGGGATCAGCCTGGAAAGATAAATAAGTGCTGGGGCTGAGGCAGGAATATTAGGGAGTGAGCGGGACTGGGGCAAACTGAAGAGTGCACGCTGCGCAAGCAGGAGATGCAGTACCGGTGCCAGCTCACAGTTGCTGAGGGAGCTTGGATAGCTGCTCATCTCATTTTCAAGAGTCAGAAATCTAGATCTTTATGTAATATGTCCCAGTCTGTAAATGTTGGTCACTCAAAAACAAAACATTTCCCCAAGGCTGCCATCTGCCACCTTTGCTTTCATTATTGAATTTAAAGAACTGAAAGCACTGTAAATTTCTAAAATGTCCTTGAAGAATGGGAGTTGAATTCTGTGATCAAGGGAAAAGGGAAAGGAAGAGTTCTTATTAGGAATGTGATTTGGTACTGGTCTAATTAGTACATTTCATTAGCCTAATTAGCATATTGTATTCTACAGTTTTTAAAAATGTAATAAAGCAATCCATCTTATATGCAAAGAAAGGGGGATGAAATATATATATTCAGTTTAGAGATACATATTCATTTTTTCTTTTATTTATAACACTGGCACTGGAAGAATACATTAAAAATTAAAGAGTGATTATCTATGTGGGGTAGGGACCAGGTAGAAAGGCATGAATGTGAGAATAGATTTCTCTAGATATACATTTATTTAGTTTTTATTTTTGAAATAGGTGAGAGTATTACATATTTACAAATTAAAATAAATTTTTAAAATGAAAGTAAAAGGCACTGAAATGTCAATTGATTTTTTATTTTAGGGAAGTATGATAGGTTGGAAAATAAACTAGAATGCATAAAAACACATAATAGGACAAAATTCTATATGGGAAGTGGAATTAAAGGGAAATAAAGTGGAAATAAAAGAAGTAAAGGGAACAATGTTACATTTCAGATAGCTAAAGAAATAATTGTTTCATTTAGTCTTTAAATGGTTGATATTTAAAAAAATCTTTCCTCAATGTTTTATTATGAAAAATCACAAATGTATAGAAAAGTTGAAATTTTTATGGTGAATTCTCCTGTTATACATCCCTCCCATAGGCATCACATATCTTTCTACCTATCTATCTACCCATTCATATCTCTCTATCCATCCATCAATCTTTCTTATTTCTTGTATGCATTTCAAAGTAAATTTAAGATGCCAGTATTCTTCCCCCTAAATACTTTGCATCATTAGCTAGAGTTAACTATTTATTCATAATTTTTTTCTTTTGAGGAAAAATATACACACAGTTTAAGATACATATACCTTCAATGTACATGCCCTAAGTTTTGGAAAATACATACACCTGTAACCTAAATCCCTAACAAGATATAGACTATTACCATCACTTTTAGATGGTTCCTTCATGTCTCTTTCCAATCCATTCCTCTCCACCAGCAACTCTGGTTCTGATTTTTTCTACCACAAATAAGCTTTGTAGCTTTGTTTTTTCTAGAACTATACAGAAATGTAATCATACAGTATATAATTTTTCATATTACATGATTCCATATAAGGCTTCTTTGGAAGATACTTTTTAAATGGTATCAAATGGCCATGGTATTTATATTCCACTGGACATACTTAAGACTTGTGTGACAACGCAATGCTGAAAATTGCTTCCTTCACAATTGTTTAATCTTATGATAAAATTTTTGGGTGCCAGTATAAAAATGGAAAGGGGATACATGTATTTTTCAAAATTCTTTTGGGAGTATATAAACAAAAAGTTTGAAGATAGCTGATCTTGATTTTCCTATATTTGGAACTACTGGAGTAATTTCTTTGTCTCTGGAAGGCTGAAGTTATGTTACATGATGACTAAGAGGCCACAAATTAGTATGTCTGTCTATAAACAACCAGATGGATTAGTTTTGGATTAGCTAGCTTTTACTTAGAAAAACAGAAACTTTTAAGCTCCATAAGAATGGGTGCCAGGTGAATAGGTAAATTTAGGTGTTTGTAAGGAAAATCCAGTGTGACATCAAGGATTTACAGTGACCCTGCAAAGGAGGGCCAAATCAAAGGCAGAAGATGTCCTACCTAAATTTGCCACAGGCCAACCTGTTTAGATTCATCTTGGACTCATAAAGGTGGATTTAAAGCTAAAAATACAGGTCCAGGGGTAGAAGGGTTCATCCAACCCACTTATGAGGTTCCCAGTAAGCACCTTGGGGTATTGCTCAAACCCCAGGTTTCCCTCGTAGGCTCCTGGAACATATGATGACAAAGGAAACAACCCAAGTTTGAAAAGAAAATGATCTAAACTAATATTCACCTTTCAAATAAGAAAATATTAACTACATTTAAACTTTGTTGACTCTAAAGGAAAACTGAATTATTTCTTCTCATTTGGCTGAATCTTTGTCCCTGTCACCCCTGTTTATGTCCCGTACCATGATGAGTTCCAGACTCCCAGGTCCCCTTCATCTTCTACCACTGGCCCACCCCACCCAAGGCTCCTCACATCACCTGTTTGGAACACTTTCCCTCCTACTTCCCAATTTCTGACTCTTTAACTGGGCCTCTGGAATTCAGTCCATCATCAGCAAACTCCTCCATATCCTGAACCTCTCTGACTCTCCTTCAGCCTTCCCAGAGTCCTTCTATCACTGGACTTCGACATGGGAGGGGGATTCTCCTTTGCTCCTCATTGCCTCTTTTAGGCTGTTCTCCCTCTTTCCTCTCTAATCCCTCCCCATGCGCAGTATCTGGTTTTTTTTTCAACCCATGTTCTCTGATGCTGTCACTCTCCTCCTTGTGTGAGGCACTCATAGGTTACTCTCTTATTTCTCAAGGACTTTGGCTTTTGGCTACTGGCATCCTCTTTAGTACCTGTCCCATCTGTACCTCTCTATCCTCAGTCTTGTTTTCAGTATGTATGTAGGTAATACTTAAGACACTCTCCTCGACTGTCTTCCAGTGATATTCCACACCCCTCAGCCATTCACTGCCACTGCCACATTCCACGTAGACTTCATCACTGTTCCACAATCTTATTTTCAGGCAACCCACTCTAATTACCATGTTGCTGTGGTCACCTTGCGGAAGTGAGTTGGACTCCTCCACCTCAGATTTGGTTTGAATGTTGAGACTGATGATGCTATATATGTGCCGAGAGAGTATGAAAAGGTTTAGTACTCACATACAGAAACTTTATGGGAAGAGCAGGGCAGGTTTCTAAGCTGGTACAAATACGGCTTAAAGGAGCAGAGAAAGGAGACTGTCTTAAGATGTTATGGTGGTTGGCGGTAGGAGGTAGGATTCGAAAGTCCGAACGAGGCAGATGGGTGTTTGCTTTTTAAAAGGACAGCTAACGTTGTCTGGTGTAGATCTCAAATACCCCAGCAATGCAAACGTAATTCTCAGTCATGTCATGTGTACTGTTCGCGTGGTGATCTTTGACGATTTCCTATTCCAACCTCTATTCCTCACCCCCAAAATGTGATATCTACAAGGGTCGAGATTTTTGTCTGCTTTGTTCATGTACATAACCCTATCAACCAGAACAAAGTCTGGGTGGTCAATAAATATTTATTTATTGAATAAATGAATGAATCAAACTAGTAGGATCCATTCTTAATTTACTCAGGAATTACCAGTCTCTCAACCCAAGCTGGAAATCAATTAAAAATAGGTATAACTGTCCCTAAGAAATACCATCCAGGTTTAAAATTGCGTCTGTCCGTGGGTTGGGGGAAGGGCGGACAGGAAGGTATCTTAAAGTAATGAAAGCTTTCACTACCTGGGGAAAAGCACTTCTCAGAGTTACAGGCCAGAATGAGTTCTAAATGGCCACTTAAACTGTTGGCATCACGTGAAAAGGTTTGTGGGGTAAAACGATAGTAAAACGCATCTTCCTTTATTTTAAGTCACTCAGATCAACAGCTGTTCTCCTACTAGGGTGGCTCTTTTTTTCCTTATTTGGACTTCACTGTCAAAAGAGAGACACCACGCCCTGCATTATGTAGCCTTAACTGAGTAGCTATGCCACGTCCCAGGTCTCTTGTTTTCAGGACTGTATTTAATTCAGAAATATTTTTGAGTCAGGATTCCTGGGTGGGACCAGGAAAACTCAGAAGATGTTTGAAAACAATACAAACCAGAAAAGTTAAAAAAAAATTTATGTACATTTAGAAAAAGTTCAAGATCGTTCCAGGCGAATTGGATTTGGGGGGCACGCTGAGTTCAGCAGAAAGGAACCCGTCCGCGTTCGCTCGGGGATGCGCGGTCTGCGTCGGGCTGCGGCGGACACCCCCTCCCGAGGGAGAACGATCCTCTCCTAAGGAAGGGACCCCAAGCTTCCCTTAAATTTCCAGGCAACCCGTCCAGACACGTTCGGAGTGAAGGAGAAGAGTCCAAAGAGCGGCAGTCCCGCCGGGCGGAGTGGCGAGGTAGCGGGATGCGCGGCGGGCGCAGCGGGTAGGGCAGGAGCAGGCGGCTAACTCATCGGGGTCTGAGGGGCCAGCGCTCCGGCCCGCACGGCGCAAACTCCGGCCCGGCGCGTGCGACACCCCCGCTTCCGCGGCGCCCCCTCCCTCCTCCGCACGCCTCCCCTTTAAGCGCCAGGCGCAGTTGGATTTGTGTCGGCCGAGGCCCGGTGCGACTCCCCTTTATGGCGGAGTCGGCAGCAGCGGCGCTGACAGCCGCGGCGGCCGGGCGAGCAGAGCAGGAGGCCGGGCCTCGGGCCGCCGACCGCAGTCACCGCGGCGGGTCGGGGGAAGCGCGGTGCGCGCGGCGGCGGGGGCGGGGGAGTGGGCGGGCCCGACCGGGGAAGGCGGGGAGCCGGGTCGCCGGCGCGCGGGCCCGCCTCTGACTGCGGCGCGGCGGGGCGATGTGTGATTACCATGGCGAGGAGTCTCTGTCCGGGGGCCTGGCTGAGGAAACCCTATCACCTCCAGGTAGGCCGGCGGCCAGCCCGTCGCGCGCCGCTCGCCCGCCTCCCGCCTCCCTCTCCAGCCAGCGCCCGCCCGAAACCCGCGGCCCCCTGCCGTCCGGCACCTGGCGGCGCGCCCTCCCGGCTGTCCGCGGCCGTTGCCCGCGCCCCCGCCGGCCTGGCCCGGGGGCTCGGGTCGCCGCGCCCCGGCTCGCTCCGCGCCCCTGGCATCCCGAGAGCCCCGAGCCGTGACCCAGGTGCGCCCCTGGATGTCGGGGCTGAGCGAGGTGGGCTCGGGACGTGCCTCTCCGCGGCGGGCCCCGCTGGTCGGCTGTGCTCGGCTCTGTGTCCTGGGTCTTAAGTAGGTGACAGGAAAGGTGGTGTGTCATTCCTCCGTATTTTAGATAATTAAGGCAATTTGTCACATCAGTGTCTCCTCAAGCCCCCGAGAAGCGGATTGCGCCTGGTGCCGAGCCCTCTGGTTTGGTCTTTCCATCACGTCCGTGATTTAAATGGGAGGTAGGATTCGAAAGTCTGAACGAGGCAGATGGGTGTTTGCTTTTTAAAAGGACAGCTAACGTTGTCTGGTGTAGATCTCACATACCCCAGCAATGCAAACGTAATTCTCGGTCATGTCATGTGTACTGTTCGCGTGGTGATCTTTGACCATTTCCCGTTCCAACCTCTATTCCGCTGCCAGTCTGCCCTTGGCCCTACTACTGCCTTCATATACTGTTGGTCACCAGGGGGACCTAGTAGACGTCGTGAGTAGCTGAGCGCAAATCCATCACCCCAGCGGAAAAACAACTACAAATCAATGCCTCGCGTGGGTCAGCAGTGTGGTCTGCATTTTAAGGACAGTATTCCTCTACCACTTAGAATAAAATGCCTGAAGGTACTGATAGATTTTTTTGGGATGGGAATTCATGCTCAGCTCATGCTTTTATAAAATATTTAAAATGTTGAAAATAAACCGTCATAAGGCAATTAAACCTTTCATTTTTGTTTGAAAATTGCATATGTATATCGTAACGCTACAATGAGTGATGCACTGCAAATTGGAAGCATGATTTGACATTCATAATATGAAGGATATGGAAGTAAAACTGATCCATATCGTGAAGTGGAGATTGTCATTCTTAGCTGAGCACATCACACTGAAGTAGTGAAGATAAGCTAGGTAAAGTTAAATCTCTTTTGTGATACCTGTGCTACATTTTTAATAGAAAAGCATGTGAAAACTGAAAAAAAAAAAAAAAAGAAAGAAAAGCATGTGAACTTAAATGTAAATCTACAGAAATATGTTGAATTCCCTCAACCAAAGGTTCCTGGCTTTCTAACTGCCCTCCCTCCTTACTTATTGAGCATTTTTTGACCTAGATGCACCTTATGACTTACTGTATTGACTTAATCATTTACTTAATAAATATTTGTTGGATGCCTGTTAATGCCAGAAACTTTGTGAGGTGGTAGGGATTCTACCAGAGCTAAGCAAACACCTTTGTGTTTCTCATAGAGCATAAAGTCTAGTCAGGGAGACAAACATTTATTAAATAATCTCAGAAATGTATAGTGACAACAGTAAATGCTATGAAGGAAAAGGGAAAGAGCAAAAGGCTGCCTGACAAGAAGAGAACAGTTTTGCTCTCTTTTAGAAGTATTTTACTATGGAAATTTTTTATTCACACATAAAGTGGAAAAGAATAATGAGCTCTCCTGTACATATCACCTGCCCTCAACAAATATCAGTTCCCCTCCATCCTTTTTCCAATGAAAGTATTTTCAAGCAAATCTCAGATATCACATCATTTCATCCAAATATCTCAGTATGCATTTATAACAGATAAGGATATTTCTAGACATATTCACAATATCATTATCACACCTAACAAAATCAATTACAATTCTTTATTTTTCCCTTACTCTCCTCCTAGGTATGCATTACCCTGAGAAGACTGACTAAATTTGACTTACTCTGGCCTGGGCTTCTGTGATTTGAGAGGATCTCTTGGCAAAAACAAAACAAAAAACTCTCTTATTCATGCTAGAAATTCTTCATCCAGGGAAACTAATTTTCATTTCATGTTTTGAGAGAATGTCTTAGAAAGTAAATGTCTGGTTTAAGTAACATTTTCCTGTAAATGTATTATTTTAATTTAGAATGAGGATGTGTCCTCAACAGGTATTAAAGATCTTGTTTTTTGGTTGGGTAGGGGATGGAGTGAGTACCAGAAAAATTGGATTTCAAAGATGCGAAGAGATGAAGGGCCTAGCAAGGAAAGAGGGAAGTTGCAGAGACCAGCTTTGTATACTTAGTTTTGCTGCTTGTCTTCAACTGGGTGGGGTCAAAAAGCAGATATGTTCTGAGCTGTGCAGGCCTATGACTTGCAAGTTCCTCTTCCTCCTGTAATTTACAGGGCAAAAATTTTAAGCAGTTGACTTAGTGATAAAGGAGCTACATTCCCAGTATTTTCATGAATCTAGATTTCACTGTGGTAATTGATAATACTTGTAGAGAATTGTAGCACTGTGCAATTGATATACTTTCAACTATAAACTGGAATAAATAGCATTTATGGGCTGATGTGGGGCAGAATTCCTGTTTATAGCTCTGTTTATATAGCAAAAGAGATCCTATGACTTGTGAAGAAAACTTGTAGTATGTCCATATGGTAGAACATTATTTAGCAATGAAGAGGAATGAAGAACTGATACATGCTAAAACATGGATGAACCTTGAAATCATTTTAATATATGGAAGAAGCCAGCCACAACAGATCATATATTACAGGGTTTCACTTATATGAAATGTCTGAATAGGCAAACCTATAAATATCAGAAAATAGATTAGTTGTTGCCTAGGGCTGCGAGAGTTGGGGGGAAATGGGTATGAGGTTTTTTGGGGGGTGATGGAAATGTTCTAAAATTAATATTGGTGATGGCTGCACCCTGTGAATATACTAAGAGTCATTGAATTGTATACTTTAAATGAATAAATTATATGGCATATGAATTATATCTCAATTAACTTGTAAGAAAAAAAAGAACTGAGTTTATCCCCATTGATGTGGTCCTTCTCTCTGCCCCTTGTTGCAGATTCTACCAATGCCAACTTTTTGGTGCAGTAAGTACTTCTAGAAGAGCGGTGCAGGCACACTGTTTGCCTGTGTGGCTTCTGTCAACCAGGTGGGCTTGTGACCTGCTTGGAATAGATAGCCAGTGAACATTTACCTGAGAAACAAGCTTCTCATGGCAATGCATGGTTACCAGAGCACGCTAACTTACAGTGCCATCCTTTTCAGCTAGTTTGTTGAAAACTTACCTCAGAAATAGTACTAATTGGACTGGCTAAATGTCATGGGGCATAGAACAGAGTAGAATTCTGCCTCTGAAATTAGAAACTGTGCATGTATCAACTAGCTAACACCATTTTTAGGCAGTGTTTTTCTTCTACACACCATGATGGTGATACTCCTTGTGGCCTGCTGGATGTGGTAACCCACAGTGACACCTGCATTTGTCTGTTTTTAGCAGTTTGTTTTCTACAAATTAAGATCTACTTTGTCTAGGTTTTACTCACAGTCTGAGAGGGACTGATAATACAGCAGCCCTATAATTCATTGGTTTTAGTTTTGATACCTTCTTTCTTCTCACTGTCATTAAGCCCTGCAAGAATGAAAGTTAAGACAATTTAGGGTAATTCTCTATGCTTAGATTATACACATTTTTCATTCCAGTCATTCTGCCTATGTTGCATTTAAAAAGCTGGCACAATTCTAATGGAATTTGAAGTCTGAGAAACCTGGGTACTTGTGAAGGTTTTCAAGCCCTTTAGATTGCATAAGTTTTAAGTTTCTTGAGGCATCCTTTCAAAAATGACTTAACAGTTTCAATATGTGTTCATCAGGGCTGTTTGAAGGGATGGATAGATCGTGTGTTCCAATTAGATATTGGCACTTGTTTAACATTTCTGATACTGGCTCTTTGGCTTAGGCTAGTAGTGTTTCTCAAACATGACTGCTGTAGATGGTTTGGTTCTTTATGATTTAATATGAATATTTTGTGGGGTTTATTACTAGATAGTGTTACTGATGCAGATTAACTGGTAGTAGTGCTGATGTTGACAAACACTATAGTAACAGTAGTATGACTTCTTGCCCATTTTCAGCCTCCAGAATTATTTTAAATCTAAGGATAATTAGAACAGGTAGTTACTTCCTATTCCCCAAAGGCTATAGAAGGAGGACTCTAGGTGATATAGTTCTCATCAGCTTTATTAGACCTGCTGTTCAGAGCTAAGCTTTTTGCCTTTGCCTGAAACTGAGTCTCCAGAACTATGATTAGCTTCCTGAATCTGCTGAGTATGCATCCCATAGTGTCTTAAATTCAAGGACACAGTTTTTAGGCAGCTGTTTGAAGTTACCATTATGCTTTTCTACCTCTGTTAGAAACTCACAGACATGCTGGACTCTTGGGCATATTTCCTTCAGGCTGTAGCATACAGTAAAAGTGCTTCTTCCTACTGCCCCAGTTTTTCATTCTGATGGATTATAGTGTGTTTTGTAGTCTGTGTAGAAGTTTTCTTTTTTTAGAAGTTAGGTAATTATAATGTTTTCATTTCTTAAAGTTGCTTCTAAAAACAATACCATACCATTCTGTTGAAAACCGCTTTTTTCTCACAGTTTTAACATATTTCTAGACATTCAAATATTTTTTGAATAATTCTCCTTTAAAGCTTTTTAATCTGCTGAGTATATGAGTTTGGAATAACTAGGATGTTGTAAGTGAACATGTTTTAAAAACCCAAAATTTTTCTTTAGGAATAAGTAGGGGTCTTTTTTTGGTTGACTGAGTATTTAATGAAATTAAATAATTATCTTTTTTAGGTTAGGTGTGATCATGCTACTGTGGTTATGTTTTTTTTCTTTTGTTATGTTTTTTATTGTAGCCAAAAACATTTAACATAAAATCTACCATCTTAACCATTTTTAAGTGTCCAGTACAGTAGTGTTAATACATACACAT